TGGAATAATATTTTAAATAGAATATTTTATTAATAGAATAGATTTATTTTATTTATTTATTTTTGTTCTTAATATCAGTTTAGTGGTTCTAGATAGCATAGAAAACAGAAAAAAAATAAAGCCAGATGCTTTGAAGCACCAGAACATTGTTGTTTATGGAGAACATAAAAATGAACATCAAAAGGTTCTCCTATGACTTCCTAAGAACTTTAAAAGGTCCCTTGTTGACAACATAAGATCTTAAGAAGGTTCACCTGTGACTTAATAAAAACTTAAACATGTTCTCATGTGGCATCTTAGTAAGTTCTCTTATGAAGAAACTCTTTCGCCTGTGACATCATAAGAACATAAAAATCTAGCGTAGCATTAGTTCTGGCAGGTCACGTTAGTCAAGCTCGCATCAACTGACTCTCAGCTGATCCCCATCAACCTATGGGAATACGGCACCTATCTAAGCATTCATATATAAGGTCCCTCAGTATTATCAGCAGTTTTCGCATTGCCCAATCCAAACTGTATGCTAATTGTCAATCATCTTTGACGATAGTGGTCCTGACAGAAATGATATAATATTAAGTTTGTGTTCATGGGAGTGAGACTGAGTTTCCACGACTTTGCATGTGTGTGTCTGTGTGTCACTTAGACAAAGTGGAAGTAGTTTGGTGAGAGAGAGCTCGTCTTTCCCCCCTTTTTGGGTCAGATTTTTCAGATAACCAAGATTGATGGACCCACAGAGAGAGCGAGTCAGACATGGAGGCACCTCTCTCTCCTTCACAGCATCTCCCTTCATTTCATGCCATACGTTTGGTCCTTCCTCTAATTGAGAGTGTCTTCCTTTACTCACACTTGACAGATCAATTGTCTTCGTTGTGATGGACAGCTGAATTTATCCCCCTGTTAGCCCTGTAAAAACGCAATATATGTCCCTGCAAAGCCCTCTGATTCCACTGGCAAAACTGATGTGCCGTCCCCGACTGATCCATTCACTAGTCATTTAAAGTGAAACGCCGGGATGGAGAGAGAGATCTAAAGGTCAAAGTGGGAAAGACAAGGAAAGGAAGTGAGAGGCACAAAGACAGAAAGAGACTTAAAGGAGAGTTAGAAAGAAGACAAGGAGCTGGGGGCTGGTCATGAGAGACAAATAAGGATGGATATCGGAGGGAATGAGAGGAAACAGTTGGAGACATGGGTTAGAGACAACTAAACGAAAGACTTGTTGTTCTAAACAAAATAGCTTTTTCTGTCCCACCATTATCAGAAAATGTGCACAATGTGATTTACATGTAGAACAACATTCCCGTTGACCAATCAGAGGCATTAAACCAAACCCTGAAAAAATCCTCAAGCCATGAAATCAGCAGACAGCAGCTGGTTGATTGGAATGCTGTTCCTGGAACAACGACAACAATGTCATTTTTAAGTTTTAAAATATATATTAAGGTGATTTACATATAAATTATTGAGACATTTTGGGAATCAGACTGCTGGATTTATTTATGGTCCAAGGGGAAGAAGGGCTGAATGTGTTTTTATTTATTTATTTATTTTTATTTTATTTATTTAATTGTTAATTTTATTTTGATTTACCTTAAATCAAATTCATTTTGTAGTTCATGTCTTCATATTCACTCCCTTTCATTTGACATTTCTAATTCTAAAATTTATTTTTTATTATTGTCATATTTTTATTTTATCCAAAAATGTATAAAATGTAATTTTATAAAATGTATTAAAAAAAAATATTTTACCTTTGATTACGTAGATTTACCCTAAAGCAAATACAGATTTTAGATCATTTGTCTTCACATTCACTCTCTCTCATTTGACATTTCAAAAAACCCTCAAGCCATGAAATCAGCAGACAGCTGGTTGATTGGAATGCTGTTCCTGGAACAACGACAACAATGTCATTTTTAAGTTTTAAAATATATATTAAGGTGATTTACATATAAATTATTGAGACATTTTGGGAATCAGACTGCTGGATTTATTTATGGTCCAAGGGGAAGAAGGGCTGAATGTGTTTTTATTTATTTATTTATTTTTATTTTATTTATTTAATTGTTAATTTTATTTTGATTTACCTTAAATCAAATTCATTTTGTAGTTCATGTCTTCATATTCACTCCCTTCCATTTGACATTTCTAATTCTAAAATTTATTTTTTATTATTGTCATATTTTTATTTTATCCAAAAATGTATAAAATGTAATTTTATAAAATGTATTAAAAAAAAATATTTTACCTTTGATTACGTAGATTTACCCTAAAGCAAATACAGATTTTAGATCATTTGTCTTCACATTCACTCTCTCTCATTTGACATTTCTATTTTTAAAAAATGTAAATTATTTTTAAAAAGTATTATTGTTGTATTTGTATTTTATTTCTAACATTTTAATTTATAAAATTTGACATTTGTAAACATTTGTCACCCTCTCTCATTTTGACATTTCTATTTGTAAAAATTAATTTCTTTAAATGTATTGTTGTATTGTTATATACATCTATCTATCTTTCTATCTATCTCTACATCTATCTATACATTTACATTTTTAATTTATTGTAATTTTACAAAATTTAAATTTATAAAATATATTATTCATTTATTTTACCTTTATACAGTTGATTTACCTTAAATCATATACAGCTTGTAAATCATTTGTCTTCACATTCACTCTAAGTATTGTTATATTTTTTTATTTTATTTATAAAATGTGCAAAATTTACATTTATAAAATGTATAACATGTTTTTTGTTGTTGTTGTTTTTTTAACTTTATGCTGTTGATTTACCTTAAATCAAAGGCAGCTTGTAGATTGTTTGTCGTAACACTCACTCTTTCATTTGACATGGTGTTTGATTTTAAGCTATCTTCAGTGGCATTACTGTTACCTGTGTCTTGTGTGCGTCTTATTCCGCATATGTGCACCTCACTTGTAAACATTCCCCACAGAGAGAGGCCGGACTAGAGATTAGTCTTGTTGACTGGGCAAGGACACCCTGTCAGAGCATGTTAGTGAGCGGCAGGCCTGGACAAAAACAGGAACACACATACTCATACACAGTAGCGCTTTAATATCTCTGCTGCATCATCCATCATACACACAAACACACACACATTACACATACACTTTTATTAAGTTTACCTGTACAAACTCACCAGCATGATCAAATAGAACGTTCAGTTAAAGCACATTTTTTCTATAACCATTTACACACAATTGTTTTAAGCAAGTCTGTAATTATAACTATATTATATTTATAGTCTTTATTAAAAAACAATAGAAGTCTAGGGTAGGTCACCATTTAGATAGAAAGATAAATATGTGTGTGCATGTTTACACACTGTCATATTCAGTCCAATTCCCTCGGCACCCTATAAATATGTGCCTTGTTTTTTAACTCTGTGCCTTGTCTTGAGTTTAAAACTTGCAGCATTGACACTGCAATTACAGCCTAATAAAACCCTGAAACAATACCGCTTTTGTTCCCCTCACGCTGATGTGTAATTCAATAATGTCGACATAATCCGATAAAGAAAAACACAAACAATAAACAAGGACTCCTGAGGTGGCAGAATCGACTAGGCGAAAGGTTCTCCACAGATATCTCGCTCAGGAACTCATTTCATTATACAGTAGCACCAACAGGCTTTTTTTAGTGCTTTTCTGGATTTAGCCACAGAATATTGTATGTTAGGTAGATAAAAAGCATGCATTGTGGGATTGTTCCAATGTGTTTGGAGAGCTTCTATTTATTTTTGGACTTTTAAAAAGTTTGTCTGTGCTGTTGCACTTTAGTAATGGTGACTTTTAATTGCTTTTTGATGACATTTTACAGTACTCACCTCATGCTTGTTTATTTTGAGTATTATTATAAGATTCAGTCGTCCTTAATAATAAAATGCTCAAATTTGTGCAAACACTGAGGAAAATGCAAACAGCATATACAGTAAAATATAGTAAAAATAGAAAAAAAGAGGCGGTGTGCATATATTGAATTGAGCAATAGCACAAGACATCAGACAGATGTTGTTTTTTTCCCTGTGTAGTCTGTAACAACTTCTCTGTGTTTGTTTCAGAAGACAGAAAACTCTTCGTTGGCATGCTGAATAAGCAGCAATGTGAGGACGACGTGCGGCACCTTTTTGAGTCCTTCGGGAGCATTGAGGAGTGCACCATCCTCAGAGGTCCTGATGGAAACAGCAAAGGTTATTGGCTTCAGTCTGATTTTTTACAATCACTGAAGTGTACTTTTCAAGTCTATATGTTAATATTCATTATTATATTATATTATATTATATTATATTATATTATATTATATTATATTATATTATATTATATTATATTATATTATATTATATTATATTATATTATATTATATTATATTATATTATATTATATTATATTATATTATATTATATTATATTATATTATATTATATTAAGAATATATCAGTTTTTAAAGATCTGTTTAAAAACCTTAAAGGTGCACTCTTACATTAATATAATGAAATATACATATGTGAAAAAAAATATATATAAATATTTAATAAAATAAAATAAAAACTGCTTAATATAAAAATCATTTGTGGAGCAATATGGCTTCTTGACCCAGTTAGAGGGTCATCTCTCTCAACATTTTCTTTCTTTCACTTTGCTGAAACTTGCGAAAATAAGATATGGAAGCCTAGAATTGTGTCTGTAAATGTCCAAGAGGATGTTTTTGACTGTTTTTTTTTAATCTCTTTAGGTTGTGCGTTTGTGAAGTATTCCACTCATGCAGAAGCTCAGGCCGCTATCAGTGCTTTACACGGCAGCCAAACCATGCCTGTGAGTGCCAGCACATGTGATTATGCACTTTTGTATCATTAGCACGTATTAAGGCACAAAGAGTCCTCATTTTGTTTTTGTGTGTGTGTGTTTCAGGGCGCTTCTTCCAGCCTGGTGGTGAAGTTTGCAGACACAGATAAGGAACGGACCATTCGACGCATGCAGCAGATGGCCGGTCAGATGGGCATCTTCAATCCGATGGCCCTGCAGTTTGGAGCGTACGGCGCCTATGCACAGGCAAGAGCTCTCTCTCTCATTACACACTATTCCCAACAAAACTGCAGCGTCTCAGTGGAAAAATCTGTCGACTCTAAAGTCTTGATTATACACAGTGCTCCATGCAACATGTGATTGTTATCTTAGTGTGGTATTATTTATTTATTTATATATATATATATTTATTTAAAGTGGTGTGTGTGTGTGTGTGTGTGTGTGTGTGTGTGTGTGATTTTGTCCGTCAGGT